GCCTCTATCCATCATCTACCCATCCATCCACCCATCCATCCACGCATGCATGCATCCATCCATCATCTGTCTCTCCATCCATCTGCCAGGGTTGTCAAGCAGTGCCCTAGAAAACAGATACTGTTTGTGTTATTTATTTTTATTTTGTTTCCTCAATACCTTAGTACCTATCAAGTAACAAAACTTAAAAAATTTCACAAATAAGTGTCTGGATGTGTGAAAGGCCCCGCCATTTCCCCCAGGACAGACTCTGTCTGTGTCCCACCCCAGCCCTGCAGGTGCTCTGTCCTGAAGCCCCCGCCCTACTCACCTTGGATGATGAGAAGGAGCAGAATCCGGAGCAGCCTCATGTCCTGCCTGCCTGGGTTGTCTCCGTGGTGCTCAGCTAATGCCCCCTGCCCTCTGGGACTGGAACTGAGCTCAGAGGCAACCTACCTTGTATTTCTCTAAGTTAATCTTTTATAGTTTCTCTCATCTATGTTTTATTTTTTCTCTTCAGTTACTTCCTAATTTCATTAATTACGAGGAGTGCTGTCTTTTGGGAGCGTATAGCTGATGTGATGAGGTGTCCCCTCTCTTTACTCTGGTTCCTCACCTCAGCATCTCCTGGAATCTGCCCCTGATGACCTGCTCTCTGGGGAGGGTTGCTGCTCCCCTCTCTAGCACCACCTCCAGTCTCTGCACACCTACTTCCTGCCACCCCCATCCCCCAACTCAGTTCTGGACCTGCATTGGCTACTGGAACCTTTGTGGAGCTGTCCACCCTGTGAGCTCTCAGAAGTGCTCAAAATGTAATTTCTTGCCGCCTTCATTCAAGTCAATCTATGCCAACACCTGGTCCATGGGTTCAGGGCCTCCCTCTCCACCTGCTCCCGTCATCCTAAGATAAAGCCATTGGGCCCTCTCCCTGCCACCTGCCCCCCTTGGAAGGCATTGCTAAGGTGGGGATTGGAGGTGGAGCAGCCAAGGGCTTTGTCAGCCCCTGGAGGAGAGAGCATGGCGGGCCAGACCTGGGGAGGGAAAGGGAGCAGGATTTCCTGTCCCCTTCAAGGTCCTTCTTGTTGGACCAAGAATCAAGCTGACATGAGGCCAATTACCAAAAGCATATAACTTTAATAGCATATGTGTGGGAAATCTACACAGACTTAGCAGTCAGGTATCATGAGGTACAAATATCATCCTGAATTAAGAGAGAGGGTAGAGGTTTGGGACTCCTAAGGGGAGGTAACCAGTTCATGGGAAGAGGAAAACCAGTAAATGTTTGGTTAATAACTGTTTGCCCTACTATGTAGTTGGGTTATCAGATAAAATTTATCCCTGGTGGGATGCCTGGGTGGCTCAGCAGTTGAGTGTGTGCCTTCTGCTCAGGCGATTCCGGGTCTGAGGATCGAGTCGTGCATCTGGCTCTCTGTGAGGAGCCCGCTTCTCCCTCTGCCTGTGTCTCTGCCTCTCTCTGTGTGTCTCTCATGAATAAATGATAAAAAATCTTTTAAAAAATTTATCCCTGGCAATGACCCTTATTCTGCAAATACCCTGCAACTGAAAATCCTCTATATAGTTAAGGGAGGGGCAAGCGTTTCTCTGGAGTTGGTGGTGTCTTTGACGGCCTTCAGCTCAGAGTAATCTTCATGCCAAAGTGGCCCATTAGGGGGCCGCCTGCCTTCAGCCTCTGGACCTGTTTGTGTTCACGTGTGAGGGCTGAACCTTCTGTGATTGAGGGTCTTAGCGAACCCTAGGTTTCCCACCTGAGACAAAGAATTTATGAAAGGGGGTGGGCAGGACATCCACCTCCCTTCAAACTTTTCCCTCCCACCCTTTCTCAGGTTCTACTGCGGTGTAATTTGATAAAATAAACCTCACCCACTTAAAGTGCACAGTTTGAAACGTTTTTCTTGTCTTTAGTGCTTCTCAAATTTTACACGTGGTATGATTTTGAGGTGGATTTCAGTTCTACGTGTTGAACACACACACGATTCACAGGGAACCACCCTTTGCAAACATGCAAAGCAATGCTATCCCCTCACCAGAAGGGTCTGTAACTAGGACTTCCGTTTCTCTGATGGCAGGCAGTCCAGCTGCTGAGGTTGGGACTTCAGGTGCTGAGGTGGCTTCCTGGGCTGTTCTGCCATGTGCCCTGGCTCAGCTTTCTGGAGCCCTGCAGGTGCTCCTCCGAAGTGCCCTGCGTGAGCCCTCCAGGGGTCGGCCTGTGACTGGCGGGGATCTTCCCCCAAAGCTCTCTAAGTGGGTGCTCCCTCAGGGGCTCTGGTCAGGTGCGCACAGCTGGGGTGCGAGTCTCGGTGGTCTAGGGTCCATTTCCCCAGGGGCTTCCGCTTGTCCATCCCCCCCAAACATCACTTCCCAGCTTTCAGAGCCTCCACCCCCTCCCTTCCTGGTCTGTTGGCTGGGAAGCTTTGCAAGCTGAGGCTTTTCTCTCCCCAGTCTGCCATGTACTTCCTGTGGTTGGGTTTGTTTCCAGGGCCAAGCAGAGAGAGGAGAGAGAGAGAGAAGATGCAGTGATAGTCATCCGTTCCCCCCCACCCAACCTGCCAGGTCTGGGACCAGCTCTGGGACCCTAGCTCTTTTGGGCAGCAGGGACTCTCCTGAGTTGCCTGGCGGCTGCCGGTAAAATTGCAGCTTCTCTCCAGAGGCTTGTGGAGACCTGGTGGGAGGGAAAGAAAACACTACTGAGAAAAGTCCTGGAATCAGACCTCCCTCTTCCCTGAGGTCATCTTTTCTCTGTGCATCCTGAGCTCTTAGGGTCCCTGCTGGGCATATACTTTCAGGATTTGAGCTGCATGGTTCATGCTCAGGCAGGAGGATAAGGAAGGAAACATAAACAGAGAACTCACAGCGGCGTTGCTCCTATACTTGGTCTGGTTCCTTTCTCCAGTCTCCTGCTGAGGTTCATTTTGCCGACTGCTCAGATGGCTGCTCCACGTACCCTGTCTGGGTTCTTAGCTGTAGTCGGGGGAGAGGTCTGTGGCGTGTGAGATTCATCTCACCCTAACTGGAAGCCTGCAGCACAGATTTGCAAGAGCAGATCTGGGGACTGGGACAATGGCCAACAATACAGAAATAGTTACTTATGCTACATTCACATAATGAAACACCAAGGCTGCTAGTTAAAGGATTAAGTGAACACAGGTGTAATAGCTTGGAGAGCATTCACAGTAAAATTTAAATCCTTGGTATTGGAGTATAAAATACACACAGAAAGTGCACACATCAGAAGCCCACAGCTCAATACATTTGCATAAAGAAAACACACCTATGAACCAGCACCTAGATCAAGAAAGAAACATTCCCATCCTCAGGGAGATTCTCTAACTTCATAAAATATGTGGGGAATCCAAGGCAGCTAGAGAGGATGCTGGGGGTCACCTTCAGTCCTCTTCATTCTGGAACGTAGAAGACCTTTCTTTCCCTCTACCAAGAAGGCACAGGCTGTAGGTCTAGAAGGCATGGGAGGCTCAAAGAACTTGGCACACTGCGACACCCCTGTTTCACACTCTGCATTGTCCCCACATACTCAGAGCCCCAGTCAGCTATGTTCTGGCTCATTCTCCATCACGTTGAGGCGGCCAACAATGATCAGTCGTTTGAGGCACGTGGGGAGAAGGACCAGACCAGAGCAGACCAAACCAACACATGACCACAGAGTGAGGAGAGTTTCAAAAATTTCAGCAAGCAGAGAACAAAAAAATAGGAGTTCTTGAGATGAAAATATAATTCCTAAACTAAATATTTCATGCAAACATTGGAAGAAAAGTAAAAACACAAAACCAAACCAAATCCTCTCAAGAGGTAGAACTAACCTCACACATGTAGATAACATAAAAGAAAAAAGGAGACAAAAAAAGGAGCCACTCAGGGGTGCCTGGGTGGCTCAGGTAATGATCCCGGGGTCCTGGGACAAACCCCTGCACTGGGCTCCCAGCTCGGCAGGGAGTCTACTTCTCCCTCTCCCTCTGCCACTCCCCATGCTTGTTTTCTCTCTTTCTCTGTCAAATAAATAAAATGTTTTTTAAAAAGAGAATTGAGGGACGTCTGGGTCACTCAGCAGTGAGCGTCTGCATTCGGCTCAGGGGGTAATCCCAGGGTCTTGGGATCGAGTCCTGCATCGGACTCTCCACGGGAAGCCTGCTTCTCCCTCCGCCTGTGTCTCTGCCTCTCTCTCTGTGTCTCTCATGAATAAATAAATAAAATCTTAAAAAGAGAGAGAGAGAGAAAGAGAGAGAATTGACTCAGGGAGGAGAGGGAAAGGGAACAGAGGACAGAGGAGGAGAGGACATGTGAAGGAAGAGGGGAGTCCTGTGGGAAAGTCACTTACGAGGGCATTTGCATAAGTGGTTTAGGGCTGGGAAATGGGGTTTGTCCACAGCCAGGGGAAATACACCAACACATGGCAGAGGAAGCATGGAGGGCACAATGAAGCTGATGGGAAATGGTCCCTTTTCCGTCCTTAAAATCTCCCCAAGGCACCTCTGCCCCAGAGGGACTTAGGACCTCAAGGAGAAGCCTGAGTAGGTCAGGCTCAGGGCTGGCCCAGGGTCCAGGGCAGGAGGGGTGGTCTGGGATGCACTGAGGTGAGCTGCCTGAAAAGAGGGTTAGGATGGGGCTGTTTGTCCAGCAAGGCTGGATGTGAACCCTGAGCACCACATTCCTCCCCATGCGCAAACTCTATGTGTCTCCATTACTTCCTTGGACCAACACTCTGAGGGTCTAGTGTCTCTGCCTTGCAGCACTGTGTGCCTTGGTTTGCTGGCAGCAGGCTTCCCAGGTCCCCAGGCACACTGGCAAGTGGCACTCTGGCCAGTGTGACACTTTGCTTCCCCAAAGTATCAAAGACATATCATCACATCAGCCACAGGCTCCCAAGGATGGCACTGCCTTTCTCCTAATTGTTGAAATTAGGAACTAACTGAAGAAAAACTTAAGGGAAGTAGATGAGAGGAAGAAAAGACTAATTTAGAGAAACAGAATGCATTTTGCCTCTGAGCTCAGTTCCAGTCCCTGGAGAGCAGTGGGCATTAGCTGAGCACCAGGGACACAAGCCAGGCAAACAGGACATGTGGCTGCTCCCAGTTCTCCTACTTTTCCTTGTCCAAGGTGAGTTGGGCAGGAGCTTCAAGACGGAGCACCTTCAGGGCTGGGGTAAGACACAAACAGGGTCTGTCCCAGGGGGAAATGGCAGAGTCTTTCACTCATCCAGACACTTCTATAAAAAAAAATTAATTATTGTTAACTGGCAGGTACTAAGTTAGGTGTTGAGGAAAGAAAATAAAAATGAATGACACAAACAGTCCAGTTTCTGGTGTTCTGTTCATCAGCCATGGCTGATTAATCACTAGAGAGATGATGGATGGATGCAGGGATGGCTGGATGGCTGGATGGGTAGATGATAGGCAGGTGCATACAGGCACACATATATACACATATACACAAATGCATGAATTCCTAAGAAAATTTGAAGGAAAACAGAAGCTCAAGCTCCAGCTGATACCCACTCAGTTAAGATGAGGTTCAGACACCTGGATCGTTTAAAGGCCTGCACAACTGCTCTTGACTTGTAGCTAGAGCCAAGATCCTCTCTGCTGAAGAGCTCGGTTATAGGGAGGAAGACAGGCAGCAAAACCTGGGGTGACAGGCTCTCTGGGGAGGTGCTCAACCCCACACACCAGGCTGCCTGAAGCTCTGCTCTGGATGAGCCAAAGACCAAGCCCTCATCCAGTGTCATAAGTGCAGCAACGGAGATAGGGACAAAGTGCTTTGATGGCACCGGCATGATCCAGTTGGCTACAGAAGTGGAGACACCGGAAGTGGAGACACCGTAGAAGAGACATTGTTTGATCTGAGCCTTGTGGGATGATTATAAGGGTTTGATTCCTTCAAGCAGAGGAGAGAACATTCCAGGCGAGGCATCAGCTTGTGCAGAGGTATGGAGACAAAGAGCAAAATGTGTAGGTAAAATAACAAGCAATCACCTGCGTGTATGTGCACATGTTTGTTGTGTGAATGTGTATGTTTAGTTCTGTGCCGCACATGGATTCAGGGAGTGAGGTATTTTAGGTGAGTGGGGGTTAGCGTGTCGTGGATGAGTGGGGAGGGGACCCCATTGTCTCACCAGCTCTGGGATTCAGAAATACACCTGAGGCAGTGCCAGACATCCCAGCAGTGCTCAGGATAGCCCCGGGCTCAAGGGAGGAAATGAGTGTTGGGTTTCTGTTTTCTAGCCCAGTTCTCCATCAATGAGGAAAATTTAATGAGAGGCACAGAGGGGAAAGCACTGGTGGTGTACTGCATGTACCCCTCAGGATTGGAATCCAATGCGAAGTTGTGGTGCCGCGGAAAGAACTGGGAATCATGCAGAACCCTTGTAAAAACCACTGGGTCAGAGCAACTGGTGAGGAAGGGTCGAATGTCCATCCAGGATGATCACAGCCAACGCACAATCACCATGACCATGGAGGAGCTGCAGAGGGATGACGCAGACACCTACTGGTGTGGGATTGAGAAAACAGACAAAACAAAAAGTTACCAATTAACTGTGATTGCCAAACCAGGTAGGTATTAATCTCCTCCTGTGCTCTGGGGCCCTGGTACCCAGTTGAGAAGGAGTCAGGACTGTTCCTCTCTCTTCCCTGATGGATGGAGAGGAGTCTCTAAATTTGCCTGAGTTTGTGTGTGCTCATGTGCGTGTGTGTGTGTGCGCACTTGTGTGAATGTGTATGGGGGGGCACTATGAGTCTAGGAAAGATGGATGAAAGAGCGAGCCCTCACATCTCTGCACATCTCCATCTGCTCTCCTAGAGGGAGCATTGAAGGACAGACTCGGCTAAGACATGCTTGTCCAAGGAAGGCAGCTTCTCCTTTCCTGGTCACATCCAACCTCAGCCCAGCTCCAGGCTGAGCAGGGCCTTGTGAGGCAGACAGGGAGGAGTGGGGTACTAGAAAGCCATGCTCCTCCATCTCTTAGATGCTCTTATGGCTGCTGTCCTGTCCTCCAGGACAAGATCAAGCCTTTCTGGGCACGTGTTTCTCTGCACAGTGCAGTGCCTGAGTCTATTGTCCACAGAGATCAAGTGATGGTCCCAGTTTCAGCCCATGGACCAAAGAGACCTTCTATGGGACCCAGAGACCCCAATTCCTGCCAATGCCTTCCTGGACCTCTGATGCCCACGTGTCCCTGCTCTTTCTGTAGTTTGGGGCCAGGACTCATAGCGGCTCTTCCTACCCCCTGTTCCAAACCCAGTCTGAGAGGGAAGACGCCCAGCACAGTGGGGGAGCTGTGGTTGATTCCCGAAGAAGTCTTCTTCATCAAAGGGCTGTTTAAATCCATCCAATAATTTTGTCTGCATCTATGAGATGATCATATGATTTTTCTCCTTGACTCTGTTAATGTAGAATATTATACTGATTTTCTCATGTTCAAACAGTTTTGCATTCTTGGGATAAACCCAACTTGGTGATGATGTATTTTCTTGCCTTTATATCCTTAGATCCAGCTTGCTGATTTTTTGTAGCGTACTTTGGCATTTATATTCATGGATGATTTCTGCCTTTAAAATTTCTTTTTTGCGCTGCCCCCCTGTCAGGTTTGGACATCAAGAGTATGCTAGTCTCATTAAATGGATTTGGGATTGCATCTCCTTTTCCTATGTCCTGGAATTTTTTGTGTAAGATAGACATTCTTTCTTTCTTAAATGTTCAGCAGGTATCTCTGTTAAAGTTCTATGGGTCTGGAGGTTTCTCTTGGAGAGGTTTTATTTTATTAATCAATTCATTCATTCATTTACCTTAAGTAAGCTCTACACTCAACGAGCGCTGGAACTCTTAATCCTCAGATCAAGAGTCTCGTGCTCTGCTGACTGAGCCAGCCCGGCACCCATTGGAGAGGTTTTTAATAATGGATATGATTCTTATAAATATGTAAAGATGATTTAAAAATGTAAGATGAAAAAAATGTAAGATGATTCAAGTAGTCTATTTCTTTTTGTGCTAATTTTAGCACATTTATCATTTTTGCCAGAAATTTGTTTATTACATCTAAAGTTTCAAATTTATTGGTATAAACTTATTTAGATATCCTTTTATTATTCTATCCCCTTCTTAGCTAACCTTCTTTTAATATGCTCTGGTATTGTGTGATGTACCTGTTTTCATTCCTGATATTGATTATTCAGATCACTCCTTTCAAATCATAAGTATCTTGCTAGGGCTTTGTTTTGTTTAAAAAACAATAGTACACTTTTTTGGTCTTCTCTGTTTTATATTTCTTTGCTACTTCATTAATTTTTTTTCTTTTCTTTGTTCTTTCCTCCCTTCTACTTTCATCTGCAAGTGACTGTGCAGTGTCACTATGGTCCACAGTGGGAGACCTTCGTGAAGTCATGGTGTCAAGATGCTGATTTGAATAGTTGCAACATCCTTGTTGAAACCACTAGACCACAGTTGAAGAACATTGTGTCATTCAACCAGGAAAAGCACAGCTTCTCCATGACCATCTTGCGCGAGTATAAGAACTTATAAGTATAAGAACTTATGAGAAAAATTAGCTGTTCTTTTTCTGAAGTACTGCCCAGGTACTTCACAGTATGGCAGTCTTGCTCACGCTGCAAATCTGAAATGTTAGGTAAGGACCCAAGCTTAGAATTCCTTCATTATTTCCCACTTTGCTCTTCCTGGGACATGTTTCAAAATAACCACTTGAAGTTGAGCCCATGAAAAATTAGTGACCTCTGTCCCAACCATTCCAACCACCCTGTAAGTAACAGGTGCTACCACCCTTCTCTTGGTCTCCTGTTTGCTCTTGGTCTGGGATGGAGGACTGCCCTTCCCTGGGCTCATTGGGTGCCTCTCCCCTAGATCTATAAACAACAAACTTTATGACTCTCTTTCCTTTGTGAGGGTGTATTGAAGCTGTGCCTTCTATTAAAATGACTCTGGGAGTTTCATGGCCCCAGAGTCATTTTTGGCTATTGAGGGAGTTCCCTGCCCACCCATGTGGGTGGCTTGTGCCTCCTCATTCAGCAGGCCGTGATGTGCATATTCTTAATTCAGCACACCAGCTCCAGCTCCTCAATACACAATGGAGGAACTCAGGCAAGTGAATGCAGACACATCCTTGTGTGGAATTAGGAGACCAGAGCTGGTCGTGGGTCCCAGTTAACCTGACCATTGACCCAGGGAAGCACTCTTCTCTTATGTACCATGTGGCATCTCCTCAGCAAGAGGGAGATAGTAAAAAACTGGGGGGATATACCAACTTTTATATTTATTTACAGATTTTTAGAAAGAGAAATTTTTAAAGTTCACAAATTGTAGAGTAAAAAAATGTGTTCTGAATTCTACCCCAGGCCCCTACACAAAGGTAAGAACTGTAACCTGTGTGTGTGTGTGTGTGTGTGTGTCCTTTGGAGAAATTCTGTGCACCTGAAGTAGATATATGTGAATATATTTCCTCCCTCAATGAAAAATGTCACATATTGTTTTATAGCTTGCCTATTTTTACTGAATGTATTTTGAAAATCATTCATGTTAGTATCTATAGTATTTTGTTTTTAATGGCTTCGCAACATATTGACATATCATGATTTGTTCAAATTTTTCACTCCTGATTGGTATGTCAGTTGTTTGGGTTTTTTTTGCAACTGCATGCAGCTGTGTAACAAATCTGTTGTGTTTGTAGCTTGATACCCATTTATGGCTACACCTGTCTGGTACATCACTATAAAAAAATAGCTGTGTCACTGATCAGTGCATTGTTCCAGTTTTGATGGATATTATCAAAGAGGTTGTAAACATTTCTACCCTTGTCTGAATGTGTTAATAAACAGTCAGCCCTCAAACCCAGCATTGGATGTTGTCAATTTTTTGTCTTTACACTCTTATTGGCACACTTGACATGTTGACTGCACATGGTCTGGGCCCCCAGGCAGAGAAGAATGCTGTAGGGGATGAGGGTGAAGGACAGTTGGCAGAAGGAGTAGTGATAGGCACCAAGCAGAAAGCCACCAGGTAGGTGATGCTGGGTGGGCTGAGAACCAACAGGACACCCGTCCTCGGGGTTGGGGGTGAGATCCCAGGCCAAAGCCTGCTCCAGCTTGCAGAGCCTCCTAGCTACCTCCCTCCCCACACTAGTCTTTGGCAAATACCAACTTTTATTCAAAAGGGGAGTAGCACCTTCAAAAGCTTGCAGGTAAAAAAAAAAAAAAGAATACTAGCACAAAGCAAATAAAGAGCATACACCATGAGAGGAAATGTCTAAAGAACCATAGAAAAATCAGCTCATATGAATAGTTCTAGTCAATCTCAAGGAAATGATAGACAATGGGATGAATCTCTAGAAATGTAAAGACAGTGCAATACAAAATAGAGAAATGAGAAGCAAGGAGGCTGACCTGAGAAAGACAAGGAGCAGAGGAGAAAGATACATCGTTGCCAGAAAGAAACAGTGAGGGGAATGAACCCAAAACCGAATGATAAATGTGCCTGCAAATGCACCGACATGGTTTCTTTTGGAAATTTCATGAAGAGACGTTTGAATAAACAGAATATACAAAATGTGGAGAGGCAGATGTAGGTACAGGACACAAAGAGGTGATGGCACAAATGTTTGCTGGCTATTTCCTTAGAGGAGAAAAGAGAAGCCAAAAGTAAAACACAACTGAATTGGATTAGAAACTAGAGATAAGGGGATCTTTCAGGCTGAAATTGAGAGTTCACATGGTGAAAGGACTGTACAGATGATCCATACCCAGGATATTATGAAGTTACAGAATCTCTAGGATAAAGACAGAATCGAATGGCTGGTATCAGGAATAATGACCCAATCAGAAGATCATACCAGAAAGAGCATGTTGGGTGAGACAGAAGTAGGCTAGCTTCAGACATGATTACCACACCCCATCTCATAAGACGGTGAAGGAAAATCTACATGATCTGCGGAATTGCTGAGCAATTCTCATCTATGGAGCAAATGAGAGAATATTCTGGGAATATTCTTACAAGAAACAGCCTCAGGCATGCAAGGTCTTATGAAATACAGCACCCATGAGCCCTTTAAAAATAGAAAATCCACATCATGATAAAATTTTGTCAACAGAGGGAAGTTAAATAGTGAAAAAAGAGAAGCCGTGGTCAGCAATTAATATATTTCAAATTAGAAAAACCCCTAAGAAACACTGGGAGCGTTTCCCCTAAGATCAGGAACATGACAGGGATGTCCACTCTCACCACTGCTATTCAACATAGTACTAGAAGTCCTAGCCTCAGAAATCAGGCAACAAAAAGAAATAAAAGGCATTCAAACTGGCAAAGAAGTCAAACTCTTCCTCTTTGAAGATGACATGATACTGTACATAGAAAACCTAAAAAACTCCACCCCAAGATTGCTAGAACTCATACAGCAATTCGGCAGTGTGACAGGATACAAATTCAACACCCAGAAATCAGTGGCATTTCTATACACTAACAATGAGACTGAAGAAAGAGAAATTAAGGAGTCAATCCCATTTACAATTTCACCCAAAAGCACAAGATACCTAGGAATAAACCTAACCAAAGAGGTAAAGGATCTATACCCTAAAAACTACAGAACACTTCTGAAAGAAATTGAGGAAGACACAAAGAGATGGAAAAATAGTCCATGCTCATGGATTGGAAGAATTAATATTGTGAAAATGTCTATGCTACCCAGGGCAATTTACACATTTAATGCAATCCGTATAAAAATACCATGGACTTTCTTCAGAGAGTTAGAACAAATAATCTTAAGATTTGTGTGGAATCAGAAAAGACCCTGCGTAGCCAGGGGAATATTGAAAAAGAAAACCAGAGCCAGGGACATCACAATGCCAGATTTCAGGTTGTACTACAAAGCTGTGTTCATCAAGACAGTGTGGTACTGGCACAACAACAGACACATAGATCAATGGAACAGAATAGAGAACCCAGAAGTGGACCCTCAACTCTATGGTCAACTAATAGTCGACAAAGCAGGAAAGACTATCCACTGGAAAAAGGACAGTCTCTTCAATAAATGGTGCTGGGAAAATTGGACTGCCACGTGCAGGAGAATGAAACTAGACCATTCTCTTACACCATACACAAAGATAAACTCAAAATGGATGAAATATCTAAATGTGAGACAAGAATCCATCAAAATCCTAGAGGAGAACACAGGCAACAGCATTTTTAAAAATTTATTTATTTATTTATTTATTTATTTATTTATTTATTTTTGGCAACACCCTTTTCGAACTTGGCCACAGCAACTTCTTGCAAGATACATCCATGAAGGCAAGGGAAACAAAACAAAACCAAAAATTAATTGTTGGGACTTAATCAATATAAAAAACTTCTGCACAGCAAAAGAAACAGTCAACAAAACTAAAGACAACCTACAGAATGGGAGAGAAGATATGTGCAAATCACATGTCAGATTAAGGGCTAGTATCCAAGATCTATAAAGAACTTATTAAACTCAACAGCAAAGAAACGAACAATCCAATCATGAAATGGGCAAAAGACATGGACAGAAATCTCACAGAGGAACACATAGACATGGTCAACAAGCATATGAGAAAATGCTCCGCATCACTTGCCATCAGGGAAATTCAAATCAAAACCACAATGAGATACCACCTCACACCAGTGAGAATGGGGAAAATTAACAAGACAGGAAACAACACATGTTGGAGAGGATGTGGAGAATGGGGAACCCTCTTAACACTGTTGGTGGGAATGGAAACTGGTGCAGCCACTCTGGAAAACTGTGTGGAGGTCCCTAAAAGAGTTAAAAATAGACCTGCTCTAGGACCTAGCAATTGCACTGCTGGGGATTTACCCCAAAGATACAGATGCAGTGAAACGCCGGGACACCTGCACCCCGATGTTTATAGCAGCAATGTCCACAATAGCCAAACTGTGGAAGGAGCCTCGGTGTCCATCGAAAGACAAATGGATGAAGAAGCTGTTGTCTATGCATACAATGGAATATTCCTCAGCTATTAGAAACGACAAATATCCACCATTTGCTTCGACCTGGATGGAACTGGAGGGTATTATACTGAGTGAAATAAGTCAATCAGAGAAGGACAAACATATGGTCTCAGCTATTTGGGGAATATTAAAAATAGTGAAAGGGAATAAAGGAGAAAGGAGAGAAAATGAGTGAGAAATATCAGTGAGGGAGACAGAACATGAGAGACTCTTAAGTCTGAGAAATGAACAAGGGGTGGTGGAAAGGGAGGTGGGCGGGGGGATGGGGTGACTGGGTGATGGGCACTAAGGGGGGCATTTGACAGGATGAGCACTGGGTGTTATGTTATATGTTGGCAAATTGAACTCCAATAAAGAAATATACAAAAAAAAAGGAACAACCCCTAAGCTATGATGGGAAATATTACAGAAGAGATTATAAATATCGCAGGTGCAAAGAACACTATGCTGACAAAATCAAGACTGGGAAGAGAAAGGAGGGCAAAAGGTGAGATGCAAAATCTTTATCTTTTAAGGCATCGAGTCAATGGATAATTTGTGTTATGAAACATAAGATGATAATATAGGGGCTTGGTGTCCAGGCCAAGTGTGGAGGGAGTCTCAGTGAGGGATAGCTGGACATGGGGGTCAGGGTCCAAGCAGGGTGAGAAAGCTCCCGCCTCCAAGGCTCAGTCCACGCTGGGGTGGCAGGACCCAAGAAGGTTTGGAAGGGAATCCACATGGGGGATGGCTCAGGCCCCCCTCAGAAGGGCTTGATTTAGTGCTCCTTTGTCAACATCTGGAAATCATTGGTAATTCTGGGACAAAGGTATTTTCATTTTGCACTGGACCCTGCAAATAGCAGCTGGTCTTGTCCAGAGAAGGCTTTGTCATGTCTGTTCTGCTCAGGACCGCTCATGCTAGCCATGCCAGCCACAGAACATTTGCTATTCAGAGATGGGAGGCAGGGTGGAGGCTTGCTGGGAAAATCTAGCTGGAAGTCAGCTATGACCACCCAGCTGCATGGCAGATGGGTGTATCAGCTGCGGGTGAAGTCACGGTGAGGGCATCCTCTTCATGGGAAACAGAAAAAAGAACTGTGCATTGAGATGTGTTTCTGAGGATGAACTTTAGCGAATCCTCAGCTGACCACATGATGCCCCTCGCCCCTCGCTTCCCCCATTTTCTGAGCAACTCTGAGAACAGAACCAAGAGGCTGAAGAAGGAAGCAGAGAAATGCCAAGAAAAGCAGAAGAGGGAGACAGGTTGAGTTGCCCCTGGGTGAGCAGTGTTCCAGCTGCAGCTGGAGAGACAGCAGAGGGACGGGACCATGTGGCTGCCATCAGCTCTGCTGCTCTTCTGCGTCCCAGGTAAGCGGGCCTGGGCAGGTCAGGGTGACAATGGTGTGGGGCAAGGCTGGTGATGGGAAGGGAAGAGGATACAAGTGAAGAGGGGAGGAGGTGAGCATGGAGAATCCTTGCCCAGGCGAACAGGAGGAGGAGTTAATGGTAAGATGCTTCCCACAGGGGAGTGCATTCTGAGCCCTACAGAACTCGACCACTTGGAATCATCATTGTCACCGTTTTTGAAACTCAGGAATACTGTCTTATGCACCAGCCCAGGGGGAGGGGGGCAGACAGCTGATCCTAATTGGGCTAACCACTGTACTACCCAGCTTTCCCTGTAATCTAATCCAATTCTTACCACAATCCTATGAAAACAAGAGACCAAGATGCAGAGAGATGCAAATTCTTTACTGTAGATCATTTCATAAAAGGCAGCCAAGGTTCAAGGAGAAATACGTTTATTTCCAAGGTCATTGCTCTTCTTCTAATACTTCTTTCCAAGGTCATCACTTTTTATTATTTTTTTTTAATAATACAATGGTCACTTACTAGAGAAGCCTCCTTGTGAATAAACATTTATATGTCCCAGGGGCTGACAACCACCCTGCCACCATGGGGGCCCTTTGCCTCTGACAGGTCTAGGCTGGCCCCAGGGGCCCTGTACTCCAAGCCCCTGTACACAGTGACAGTGACACTGCTGGAGACTTGTGGTCAGTCCTAGTCTGAGAGTTCCCATAAAACGGCTTCTCTCTTTTTGGTTTTGGAACACTGGAGGGAAAATGATTTATTATAAAAGGGGGGAAAAATCAAGACAACTCACCAGTTTGCTCTGATCCGGTAAAAGCACAAACGTAGCGATTAGAATACAAAGTAAGCTGATGTCAGAGCCAACCTTCAGAGCCCAAGCAGGAAAAAATAATTTTCCTCACCCCCAGCTACATTAATCAAGATGCACCAAAACCCTTAAAATATCACTTCCAAAGAAGGACACTACAATTCAGAACATAAAGATATTCTGCATGATAAAGATGACTGAATAGACAAACACATTAGACCTTTAAAGGTTGAGCAAGTTGAAAGAAGAGCCGGGTGGGAACCTTGCCCTGAAGGTCCATACCCCCACTCAGGTGCCTCCACAGCCTGAGCCTGGGGCCGCAACAATTGGCCAGAGAAGGTTCAGTGTTGTCACCTCCACTCATCCTAGCCCCCAGCCTGGGTCTGGAGGGCCTCCTTGAGCGTGGTTCCTCAACCTCCACACTGTTGACATTGGGGCTGGATCATTCTGTGTCAAAGGGCTCCCTTGTGCCCTGTAGCATGTTTAGCAGCAGCACCCATTGGATGCCAGGAGCAACTCCCCACCTCAAGACAACCAAAAATGTCTTCAAACATTGCCAAATGTGTACTGGTTGAGAGCATCTGCTTTGTAGATTATTGGTGGGAGAGGCAGACATCTTTGTGATGGAGAATATCGATCAGTGGGCCACTTGAGCTTGCTTGCTGGGAAATGTGTTGAGAAAATGCAAGGTATTTAAAATGAAGACGCAAAAAAATACAGAGTTTCTTCTAATTGTAGAACAAAAATAGCAAACGCCTCAGTATCTATGGATGAAGATCCATATACTGCCTGGATAGGTGGATGGAGGGAGAGAGGAACGGATGGATGGGTGGACAGATGGATAGATGGACAGACAAATGGAGGATAGGTTGGTAGAGTCCATGCACAATTCTTTTTCAGAAGTTTGCTCTTTTGCTCAAATTGTTTCCGAGTATCCATTTGCCCTCGGGGTTACCATCCTTCCTTGTTAAGAGCAGGTCAGACAAGAGCATGTCTTGGAGTAATGAGGACCCCTCAGGTGTCAGACCAGCATGGCTCCCTGGGCAGAAAGCACAGAGTTTAGGGGACTAGGTCCTGATGATTTAAAACTGGAGCTTCCAGGGTGACTGGAGGAGGGAGGACAATGCTAAAACTTTGGAGATGGCAGGAGAGCTAGAGATGAGGCCTAGGGCAAGCCATGGTCCCTAAAGATGTTAAGTGACGGCAAGTGTTGCCACAGGATTCCGTCTCAGGGGGGAAATCCAGGTGTGGATGCCCTTAATCAAACCACAACGAACCCCTTCCTGATGGCTTCTTTTGTACCTCCTGGCCAATACCCAGGAGGGTGACCCAGACCTCTGAGCAGGTGGTTCCACCTATACAAGCAGGGGTTTATAAGCTTGGGGGCTACAGATAATCATTTGCGGAGGGGATGTAGCCAGAAGCTGAAGCCTTCATCTAGATTTCAGCACTTCATTTAGACTTCCTTGGTTCCCATGCTTGTTTCCTGTTTCCTGTTCCATCTGTCCATCCATACCTCCCTCCATCCATCTATCTGTTCAGAGTATACTCAGTGGTGTTACTTTGTTCTTGACGATTGATGGGCACAGCTGTTCCTCTCAGAACTGACACATCTGGAGACCCAGAACTTGTCTGAGGCCACCCAAAATCATCCTCTCCCCCCACATTCTGAGTTGGCTGAGCCCACACAGGCTGAGCATGACCTCTTGAGTCTCAGAATCCTATACCAGGCATCTCCTCAGGTCTTCCCCTTGTGTCTGCCAACACCCTATACATTCCTGGTTCCTGAATCCTCCATCCTTCAGCCTCAGGGTAACTTCTGGGTTCCCCTGGTTTCAGGACCAGGGGACCTGACCTCCCCAAGGTCCTTCCAGCTCATGCTCTTCAGGTGAAGAAAATATTGATGGTATCTTTCAGGCTGTTCGTCTCTGAGTGGTCCCAGCACTGTGATGGGCACCGTTGGGGGATCCCTGAGCGTGCAGTGTCGATATGAGGAGAAATACAAGACATTTACTAAATACTGGTGCCGACAACCATGCTTGTTCCTTTGGAACCAGATTGTGGCCACCAGAGGGTCTGAGGAAGAGGTGAAGAGTGACCATGTGTCCATCGTGGACCATTTTGGGGACCTCACCTTCACTGTGACCTTGGAGAACCTCACTGCAGATGATGCGGGAAAATATAGGTGTGGGATTGCGACAATGTTGCATGAAGAGGGACTCCTTGGCTTCCTGCCTGACCTCTTTTTCCAAGTTCAAGTGTTTGTTTCCCCCAGGTAAGATCTTCCCTTCTTTTCTTGGCTACCACTGAAAAAGGGATCTGAGCTAATCCCTCAGAGCATTTGCGGAAATCTCAACTCAGAAGAAAAGAACCAAGCCTAGGGTTTGGGCCTCAGAGACTTAGGACCAAGTGTGCTGTGTAGGTGTGACTGTGTGGGAAATGTGGGTGATGGGAGTGTGTGTGAGTATGAAAGAGCATGTGTGTGCATGCATGTGTGAGACAGTATGTGTGGGAGCCCAGGAGGGTAGAGGAGGGTGTGAGTATGACAAGTACTGGGGCCCAGGGGGTGAGGTGATTGGCCATGAGCTGAGCTTGGGGATGTCTCTCCTGGGGGGTCAATATTGTTGAGCAGCTTAAACAGAAGAGTTGCTCCCATGATCATATTGAAGGTGAGTCAAGACTAATTTGAGAGAGGAGTGCTTATAAGGGAGCATTTCATCCTCAAAGTTGGGGCCAGCAGGAGCTGAGATCCCGTGAGTGTTGAGGGCTACAGATTCAGAAAGCTGTTTCTGGGAGCCAGAGTCTACTGGGTCCCCTCATCGCTCTTCCTCTCCATTCCTTACCACCTCATCTTCATGAGTCTGCTGCGTCCTGACACTCAAGACTGAGTCTTGAGCTAAAGGACAGGAGTCTGTGGCCCTCAATGCAGGGCTGTCAAGCCCTGGTACCAATCAGTGTTGACGTTGATGTTGACTTGTGAGACCACAGGACCTGAGCACAATGGCTGGGGGAGAGGCAGAGCCTGGGCCGTCCTGTCGAGGAGGAAACTCCTGTCAATCACTGTGTCCTTCCTACAGGTCCCTGCCTGGCAGTGTTCACTTTCTGCTCCTCATACTCGTGAAGGTGCCCCTGTTTCTGACTATGCTAAGTGCTGTCCTCTGGGTGAACAGGCCTCAGTGGGCAATTTGTGGGAAACAGAGTCGACCTGATGAAGACAACGATATCTTGTCCTGAAGAATCCTCCACTCAGACTAAAGAAGGAGGAACTTCTGGCCTCAAACCTTCTATCTCTTCTCACCTTATTGCCAAAGACTGGTATAAAAAAAAGTAATGAAATATATCACACACACAAGTGCACATAATGTAGATGTGCATGGTTCTTGGCTGGGGTGAACAGGGGAAGCACTTCATAGGACTCCTTACTTGCTAGCAGAGACCACCAAGAACAGCCTGGTTGGCTAGAAGGGTGCAAGGTGAGGGACTGCTTTTCAGTGACCTTGCCCTCCTGAGAACCTGCAGTGCATCCTCTCAGTTCAACATCCTGTCCTTTCTCCATCCATTCACCAAATATTCATCAAAAGCCTATGGAGTGCCATGCTTATTTCTAGGTGCTGGGGATAAAGCAGTCAACAAAACACAGCCTTTATATTCTAACGGGTGATTTCAGGAAATAAAGAAACAAATATCAATTTATAAGGAGAATGATGAAGAAGAGTGGATGAAAGTCCATAGGATGGGGTGACAGATGACAGGGACGGCCTGTTGGGTGAGAGTCTCAGGCAGGGGAGGGAGGGAGCGCAGAAGGTCTGAGCAAAGGCAAAGCTCAGGACACTGGTGAATGTCCTGACCCAGACCAGTGGGGCAGGAATCTGGGGAGTCAGGTAGATGTTGATAGGCAAGGCAAGCTTTGAGGGGGCTGTCTTCTGAGTGGTGGAGATCTCCAGGAGAGGAACTCCATAGGATCAGATGTGAAGATGAATCAAGGCATTCACTTGAGGATTGGTTCATAAACGAGATTTGACCTGTGAGAAATAAAAAACAGTCCCAACTTAAGCTGAGGTCCTGGGAGCATGGATGGCAGAAGGAAGGGTGGGGCTTAGGGTGAAGAATCTGTTTCTGGAAGCCAGGTCCTGCCTGGGCAAAACCTCTCTCTCCTCTCAGTATCAGCCCATCTAATGTCCAAAGTCAGCTGCTGAGCTGAGGGCTTGGGGGTGAATATATCCAGATATCCACATCTGGCCCAAATGTGGGTTACTATGTCCACAAGGTCTTAGATCAGAGAGACAAGGGGGCAGGAAGGAAGGACCTGGGTTCTCTTTTCAAAGAGGCAGCTCACTGTCTGTCACTGTGTCCCTTACAGGTCCCTAGCCAGCAAGGTCCACTTCCTTCTCCTGGCCTTTCTGGAGGTGCCCTTACTCCTGACCATGCTCAGTGATGTCCTTGGGGTGTCCTTCCTCCTTGTGAGGACACTCACCAAGAGAAACTTCAGCCCTTCATGCTTTTTGATATGCTGCCCAGACACACAGACCTTCAGATTAGAGAAGATAAGGTATACCACATCTTATTTACTCAGTTTTCTGTTGATTGTTGATGGCTTTGGGTTTTGCCCATCTGGGGCTATTCCTCAGCCAGTGCTGCCATGAACATTTTTGTACAGGTCACCTAGTACATAGGTGAAATGACTTCACTAGGGTATATAATTAAGGATGGAATTGCTGGGTTTTAGGTTTGTGCGCTCTCAACCACACTAGATAATACCAAATGACTTTCCAAACACGTCATCTAGGATTGAGGGCTCCTATTGACCTGCCTCTCCATGTGACTACTTGGTTTGTGACATTTTAATTTTTAGTTTTTGCCAATTTGAAATAGTTTCTTCATTTCACCATCCACAGAGTGGCCTTTGGCTCAGGGCATGATCCTGGGATCTGGGATCGGGTCCCGCATCAGCCAAGGTCAAAACATAGGTAGGATCAAGCAGGAAAGAGGCCAGTGCAGGATTTGAGGTCACTGAGAACAGACAACAGGCACACAGGCTCAAGGGGTACAGCATTTACTTACAGCAGAGGAGAGAGAGAGGGATTCAGGTGGTACGTTGGTTCCCCATGGCCAGCGCATCCACTCTGCAGCCAGTGTGGGCCGTGTGGCTGCATGTACCCCACTGGTCCTGCAGAGGAACCCTGGCCCCTACTGGGATGTGGCTAAGGGTCACTGACTCATGCACTTCAGCAGAACAAAGGCGCTCTCAGTGAGCCTGAAAAATATTCCCACAAAAGGTAATAAACCCAGCACAGTCTGTGTGGGTTGTTTTTCTCTCAGTGAGGAAATGTTCCAGGCCGCAGGCACATTCTATGTGCCCAAGTAAGAGGCAGGAGATGGCCTTTCCCAACCTTCTTGTGGTTTTAATTTGAGCATCTCTGGCTGCCATAATGTTGAGGACCTTTTTATTTGCTATTATGTTCAAGTTTTGCCCATCTTGCTTGGGTTTCTCTTCTCCTTCCTGAATGATAGGACTCATACTCTTGCTGGTGAAATTTTATCAATTATGCCTTTCAGATATGTGCTCACATAATTTATGGCTTATCTTTTCACTCTAGAGTCTTTTCATAAATATACTGCTTAACTTTAGTGTATCTGAATTCTCAAAATGATTATTTTTAATACTTTATTTATTCATGAGAGACACAGAGAGAGAGGCAGACATAGGCAGAGGAAGAAGAAGAAGGCTCCCTGCAGGGACCCCGATGTGGGACTTGATCCCGGGACTTTGGGATCATGCCCTGAGTTGAAGGCAGATGCTCAACTACTGAGCCACTTGGGTTCCCAAATTCATCAAAATTATTATATTTGCTCTTTTATACGATATTTAAGAAAACCTTCTTATCACAAAGTTATAAAAATAGCCTCCTATATTTTTTCTATGTAGTTTAAAATTTTGCAGTTCACATTAGGTCCTTGATCCATCTGGGATTGATTCTTTTTTTTTTAATTTTTATTTATTTATGATAGTCACACACACAGAGAGAGAGAGAGGCAGAGACACAGGCAGAGGGAGAAGCAGGCTCCATGCACCAGGAGCCTGATGTGGGATTCGATCCCGGGTCTCCAGGATCGGGCCCTGGGCCAAAGGCAGGCGCCAAACCGCTGTGCCACCCAGGGATCCCGGATTGATTCTTTTTTTTGTGATGTGAGGTTGAAGCCACTTTCCTTTTCCCCATGTGAATAACCATATATTCCAACATATTTATTGCTTTTCCTTCTTTCCTCCTTTACCTGAGCTATATCAAGTATCCATGTAAAAACAGGTCTGTTTATGAGTTCTCTGTTCTATTTAATTAGGCTATATACTTTTTTTTCCTCATTAAACTTTTGTTTTAATGGGTCTCAAAATTCTGTGACAGATTTTTGGTCAACTTGTTTCCATTAAAAAGTACTAATTTTAAAAACTAATAACTTAAAACTGCCACACATGCACACACACAAAAGCAAATCGTCCACAAAGCATTCTCCTTTCCTTCTGAAGGTTTTACGATGCATTGTTATCATTAACCAGTCTTTTACTATTAAACTTAAATGGCCAATTGACACAAACAGTTCTGAAACCGTTCTTCCACCACTGATTAATACTGGGGTGGCAGAAAAAAAAATAAAAAAAAATACTGGGGTGGCAGGTATTGGGGATAATATTCATTTAGCCTTCTGAGCTTTCTGGGCAGACTTGGTGACTTTGCCAGCTCCAGCTGCCTTCTTGTCCACTGCTTTGATGACATCCAAAGCAATCATCTGTCTCACATCAAGAACAGCAAAATGGCCCAAAGGAGGATAGTCAGAGGGGATCCCTGGGTGGCGCAGTGGTTTGGCGCCTGCCTTTGGCCCAGGGCGCGATCCCGGAGACCTGGGATCGAGTCCCACGTCGGGCTCCCGGTGCCTGGAGCCTGCTTCTCCCTCTGCCTGTGTCTCTGCCTCTCTCTCTCTCTCTGGGACTATCATAAATTAAAAAAAAAAACTATTTAAAAAAAAAAGGAGGATAGTCAGAGAATCTCTCAACACACATAGGTTTGCCAGGAACCATATCAACAATGACAGCATCCCCGGATTTCAAGAACTTAGGACCATCTTCCAGAATGACAATCTATCTTCTCCTTTAGCTCAGCAAACTTGAAAGCAATGTGAGCTGTGTGACAATCCAGCACAGGTCCGTATCCAGCACTGATTTGGCCTGGATGGCTCAGGAAATCACCTGAGCCATGAAGCCAGCTGCTTCCATTGGTGGGTCATTTTTGCTGTCACCAGCCACATTGCCACGACGAACATCTTTGACAGATACGTTCTTGACATTGAAGCCTACATTGTCCCCAGGAAGAGCCTCACTCAAAGCTTCATGGTGCATTTCAACAGACTTTACTTCAGTTGTAACATTGATTGGAGCAAAGGTGACCACAATGCCAGGTTTAAAAACACCAGTCTCCACTCGGCCCACTGGGACAATACCAATACCACCAATTTTGTAGATGTCCTGCAGAGGCAGACACAAGGGCTTATTAGTTGGACGAGTTGGTGGCAGAATGCAATCCAGAGCTTCAAGCAGTGTGATTCCACTGGCATTCCCATCTCTATGGGTGACTTTCCATCCCTTGAACCAAGGCATGTTAGCACTTGGCTCCAGCATGTTGTCACCATTCCAACCAGAAATTGGCACAAATGCTACTGTGTTGGGGTTGTAGCCAATTTTCTTAATGTAGGTGCTGACTTTCTTAACGATTTCCTTGTATCTCTTCTGACTGTAGGGTGGTTCAGTGGAATCCATTTTGTTAACACCAACAATTAGTTGTTTTACAACCAGTGTGTAAGCCAGAAGGGCATGCTCATGGGTCTGCTCATTCTTGGAGATACCTGCTTCAAATTCACCAACACCACCAGCAACAATCAGGACAGCACAGTCAGCCTGAGATGTTCCTGTAATCATGTTTTTGATAAAGTCTGTGTCCTGGGGCATCAATGATGGTCACATAATACTTGCTGGTCTCGAATTTCCAGGGAGATATCAATGGTGATACCATGTTTATGGTCAGTTTTCAGTTTATCCAAGACCCAGGCATACTTGAAGAAGCCTTTTCCCATCTCAGCAGGCTCCTTCTCAAATTTTTTGATAGTTCTTTTGTTTATCCCACCACATTTGTAGATCAGATGGCCAGTAGTGGTAGACTTACCCGAATCTATGTGTTCAATGACGA